TTTGACCAAAGTAGGTCTACAGCTAGTTACAAGAAAGAGCTGTGGAAGATTTACTGGAAATTAAGAACTTGCTGCTGTTTAATAAGATTTAGTAGATTTTTCTGATTGCAGGAAATAACATTTTAGTCAAAAACCATTTTGACAGCAAGTATCTTCTGAGAAATTCTGAAAAGGAAAAGGATCTTAGTATATCTGGTTATTTAAACACAGGCCAAGTGCAGTTACTCTAACCTTTGACTGCCTGTGTTTTTTTCAGCCAGACCATCAAATTAATGTATCATTAGGATATAGAAATAATGTTTTCCTGTGTGTACATGAGTCTAAATATTTGTTTCCATATGTTGTAATTTAAAAAGAAAAAAACAATGTCACTTTGTTTCCAATTTATATTTTCACAACTTTTTACTTTTTATAGCTCCCAGCTAGAATCTCACAATGAGTAACATACATACAAAATGCACAGCATAGAGTTTCTGTCACATCTAACACCTTTGGTACTGGTATACCTCTTACCAGCAAGCCTTTAAAATGTTTCTGTGTTTGCTTGTTTGTTTTTTCCCAGGGGTTCAAAAGACCTGTGTTTTGAATTGACTGGGTTTGATAAGAATATTAAAGATCACTTTAATATTTAGCCACATCTAGAAGGAGCAACTGGTGTTATGTAGTTAACTCCAGGAAAAAAATACTGGTTAACATTCATAAGACTGTTTCCACACCATAGGCAAGGATTTCATGGTTTTTCAAATATGAGTGTATCCCAACATTTTTCCAAATTGGAAAGTGTTTGATTGTACCAGTAAGTGTTTGAGTGATGAAATATAAGGGTTTTCCATAAGGTTCTTGACTGCCCAGATAGATTATAAGTTAACTAGTTGCATATTGAGATATTTTATAATCATACACAGAAAAATCTCCTTTAGACTGTAAACTGTATAACCCCCACCCATAACTCAGAAAATATAAGGTGTTTTATTTCACTGGGATTTCTTTTACTTTGTGAAATACTGCAAAAAAATTTGTTTTATATAAATTTTATAGTAACCATACCAAATGTGCCTATTGTTAAAGATTTGCGTATAAGGAAATCATGATTTGAGTTCCATTAAATATATGAGAGTTTATTTTTATTACAAGATATTTTAATATAAAAATATGTAATTGATCTCTCTATTTCACATTCATTTCAATGGAGCAGTAAAATGGTTATCTTATAGTTTTAAGTATTTTTTAAAGAAATTATTATGAAACATCATTGCTTTTCCAAACCAGTCACTGTCTTTTGACCTCTCACTGCCTGGTTTCCCTTTAGACTTAGTCATGTTATCCAAGAAATGATCACATAAATTCAGCCTATACCAAACTATGTCAAATTGTAGACCACCCAACCAAGAGCAGGGAATGAGTCTAA